TAGTGCGAATGCAAACAGTAGTGCGAATGTAAACTGTAGTGCGAATGCAAGCAGTAGCATGAATGTAAGCAGTAGTTTGAATATGAACAGTAGTTTGAATATGAACAGTAGTTTGAATATTAACAGTAGTGCAAATGTAAACAGTAGTGCAAATTGAATGAGCACATGAGCGTGTGTTGAGTGTATAACCTGGGTTTTTTTTTGTTAGATAATCATCTCTTGTCCATTTGCAGAAGCTGCGGCTCTGTCATCCTCAGACAGGTGAGGCTCTCCGGATGGATGACACCCTGCTCTCGCTTCTGGCTCACCCAGAAACACCCCTGCATAATGGGGGTAATATGATCCTGGAGTATCTGGACAATGAGAGCCCAGGTCTTGAGGATGTTTCTGACTATATTACTTCCACGTGACCAATCAACAGCACTGATGTATGGATGATTATATGTATTTTATATTTATGTCAATAAAATATTGAGTGGGTGGATTTGGATTATACTCCTTGATCTGATCCTGTGATCTTTATTTCAAACATGTATAAAACTGAAATAAATTAATGTAGCAAGATAAACAAAATGAATTATATTTGATAAAGGAGTGGGAAGAGGTACAAACCTATTTAATCCCATCTTTTTCCACAACTTACTAATAACATTAATAATTTGGTTTCCTAACTCTAGATTCATGAGTTCAATAATACTTCAACTATAATCAATTTACTTATCCTATATAAATTCTATAACACCAATTATAAAATAAATTATTGATAAATTACTTTACTAGAAACCAATGATCATTATCAAATGATAATCATACACAATCTTTATCCCCATATCTTTTAAAATTTGTATTTTTATACCTCCTGAAACTGTTTCATGTTTGGAAATTCCTTGAGTTTCACGTTCAAACTTACAGTTTTACTCCACGAATAAGAAATACAAAAACTTTGTTTCTTGCTATAAATGTTATTAGTGCTGTTTGTAGCTCCACAAAATTTGTATGTTTGAGCAATTTAGACTAGAAAAATAATATGTTGGTGTGGTCCTTATCCAGCCCCATGAATAATCCTTAAAGGTTGTATTATACTATGATAATTATTGCCCCAGACCACTGCACACACAATTACAGTGTCTTGCAAAAGTATCCGGCCCCCTTGAACTTTTCAACGTTTTGCCACATTTCAGGCTTCAAACATTAAGATATAAAATTTTATTTTTTTGTTTTGCTCCTCATCCAACGTCTTCTGTTACAAATAAAGTCCAGTTGTTTTTGTATTGAACGCTTTTTGAAAACAAGTGGGACACAATCGTGAAGTGGAATGAAATTTATTGGATGTGTCAAACTTTAACAAATAAAAAGCTGAAAAGTGGGGCGTGCAATATTATTCGGCCCCCTTGCGTTAATACTTTGTAGCGCCGCCTTTTGCTACAGTTCCAGCTGCAAGTCTCTTGGGGTACGTTTCTATCAGTTTTGCACATGGAGACACTGAAAGTCTTGCCCATTCTTCCTGTAAAACAGCTCGAGCTCAGTGAGGTTGGATGGAGAGCGTTTGTGAACAGCAGTCTTCAGCTCTTTCCACAGATTCTCGAATGGATTCAGGTCTGGACTTTGACTTGGTCATTCCAACACCTGGATATGTTTATTTGTGAACCATTCCATTGTAGATTTGGCTTTATGTTTTGGATCATTGTCTTGTTGGACGATAAATCTCCATCCCAGTCAGGTCTCTTGCAGACTCAAACAGGTTTTCTTCCAGAATGGTCCTGTATTTGGCCCCATCCATCTTCCCATCAATTCTGACCATCTTCCCTGTCCCTGCTGACGAAAAGCAGGCCCAAACCATGATGCTGCCACCACCATGTTTGACAGTGGGGATGGTGTGTTCAGGGTGATGAGCTGTGTTGCTTTTACTCCAAACATATCTTTTTGCATTGTGGCCAAACAGTTCAATTTTGGTTTCATCTGACCAGAGCACCTTCTTCCACGTGTTTGGTGTCTCCCAGGTGCTTGTGACAAACTTTAAACAACACTTTTTATGGATATCTTTGAGAAATGGCTTTCTTCTTGCCACTCTTCCATAAAGGCCAGATTTGTGCAGTGTACGACTGATTGTTGTCCTATGGACAGACTCTCCCACCTCAGCTGTAGATCTCTGCAGTTCATCCAGAGTGATCATGAGCCTCTTGGCTGCATCTCTGATCAGTCTTCTCCTTGTTCCAGATGAAAGTTTAGAGGGACGGCCGGGTCTTGGTAGATTTGCAGTGGTCTGATACTCCTTCCATTTCAATATGATTGCTTGCACAGTGCTCCTTGGGATGTTTAAAGCTTGGGAAATCTTTTTGTATCCAAATCCAGCTTTAAACTTCTCCACAACAGTATCTCGGACCTGCCTGGTGTGTTCTTTGGTCTTCATGATGCTCTCTGCACTTTGAACAGAACCCTGAGTCTATCACAGAGCAAGTGCATTTATACGGGAGACTTGATTACACACAGGTGGATTCTATTTATCATCATCAGTCATTTGGGACAACATTGGATCATTCATAGATCCTCACTGAACTTCTGGAGTGAGTTTGCTGCACTGAAAGTAAAGGGGCCCAATAATATTGCACGCCCCACTTTTCAGTTTTTTATTTGTTAAAAAAGTTTGACACATCCAATAAATTTCATTCCACTTCACGATTGTGTCCCACTTGTTGTTGATTCTTCACAAAAAATTAAAATTTTATATCTTTATGTTTAAGCCTGAAATGTGGTAAAAGGTTGAAAATTTCAAGAGGGCCGAATACTTTCGCAAGGCACTGTAAATATGGAATATCTGTGGAACAGTGAAGTGGTTTGTAATTCAAAACCTGTTTTGCTTTATTCGATATTGCAATTCCTCTTCACATTTTAACTCAGATTTCCAGCATATTTGTTATTACTCCCAGACAATTAATTTAATTTGCTTGTTCAGTTTGAAACCCATCTAAATACACTTGTATTTCTGTTTCAGTTGTGCTGTACCACCTCCAAAAACTTTGTTTTTATCAAGTTTAAGAATTAATTTCTACCAAACTAAATTTTTATTTTTCTTAGCTCTGTATTAAAACTATTTACTAACAATTACAAGTTATCACCTGAGGGAAAAAATGTTTGTATCATCAGCAAATAACGCACTTCAATGACTGATATCTTACACAAATCATCCATCCATTATCTTCACCAGCTTCTTCTTTTTCGGGTCACGAGGGTCACTAGTGCCCATATCCGGCAGTCACTGTGCGAGAGGGCGGGGGGACACCCTGGACAGGCTGCAGGTCTATCACATTGACACATCGAGACAAACGATCATTCACAATCACACCTAGGGACGATCAGTCTAACATGCATGTTTTTGGTCTGTGGGAGGAAACCGGAGTACCCGGAGAAAACCCACGCATGCACGGAGAGAACATACAAACTCCACCCAGAAAGAACCCCGGACGGGATTTGATTTGGCAACCTTCTCACTGAAAGGCAGCAGCTCTACCATTAATATAGAAAATAAAAACTTTAAAAAAAAAAAACTTATTAAACAACTTGTTCATAAGTAACTTGATCTTTAAATGCAAGATGCATGGAAAAGTCAACATGGGGAATTGATTCACTTCTAGACTTTCATTTAGCATTAGATTTAAAGAGTAAAATGCATTTTATGCCGTTTCATTTGACATCAGGCCACTATATATAAAATATAAACTGTTCTTTTGACTTTTCCCTCTTCAGGGGTCACCATGGTGAGTCATCCTCCTCCATCTCACTGTCCTCACTCCATCTACCTCCATGTCCTCTAACTGCATCCATATATCTCCTGTCTTTTTCCTGGCAGCTGCATTTTTTTTTTTCATTCAACCTTTATTTAGACAGGTAAATCCCATTGAGCCACGAGGACTCATTTACAAGAGAGACCTGATTTCAACAAAGAATGATGACAACAATGGACAACAGCTACAACAATAAAGTTATAAAAAGTCATACAATTTTTTTTATTTTTTTTTTACAGATAGAAAGACTAAAAAAAAAAAAAGTACAAAGAAAAGAAAAGAAACAAAAAACAGCTAGATTCTAAGGCGAATGTAGAAGAAAAAAAAATTCTAACATCCTTCTACCAGTATACCCACTGTCCCTCCTCTGGACATGTCCAAACCATCTCACTCTGGTCGCTCTAAAATTATTTCCCAGTTGTTCAACCTGTGCTGTACCTCTGATGATCTCATTCCTAATCTTATCCATCCTTGTCACTCCTAAGGAAAATCTCAACATCTTCATTTCTGCCACTTCCAGTTCTTTCTCCTGTCTTTTTGTCAGCGTCTCTGTCTCCAGACTATGCAACATAACTGGTCTCACCACTGTCATGTAAACTTTTCCTTTGACCTTTGCTTCACTCTTTTGTAGCAAATTACACTTGAAACTTTTCTTCATCCACTCCATCCTGCCTGGACTCTCTTTTTCACTTCTTTACCACATTTCCTGGACAGTGGACCCCAAGTACTTGAAGTCCTGCACCTTTGTGACCTCTGCTCCTTGTAGCCTCACTGTTCCACTGGCCTCCCTCTCATTCACACACAAGTACTTTGTCTTAATACGGCTGACTTTCATTCCTCTTCTTTCAAATGCATACCTCCACCTCTCTACAGTAAGTTCTATTCCACCTGTTCCCTGTTCTCACCACAGATCACAATGTCATCTGCAAACATCATAGTCCAAGGGGATTCCTGCCTGACCTCATCTGTTAGTCGGTCCATCACCAGAGCAAACAAGAAGGGGCTCAGAGCCGATCCTTGATGCACTCCCACCTCCCACCTTGAAGCTGTCACTCCTACAGCACATCTCACTACTGTCCTGTTGTATTCATACATGTCCTGTATCAGTCTAACACACTTCTCTGCCACTCCATATTTCCTCATGCAATACCATACCTCCTCTCTCAGCACCCTGTCATATGATTTTTCTAAATTCACAAAGACACAATGGAGTTCTTTCTGACCCTCTCTGTACTTCTCCATCAGCATTCTCAAAGCAAAGCCACCATCTGTGGTGCTCTTTCTCAGCATGAAACCAGAGCCCTATAAAGAGATAAAGAGCTCTTTCTAGGGCTCTGCATGAAACCATTTTGCTGCACATAAATTGTCACCTTTCATAGATTCTACAACTCTCCTAGATCTTCATCTGCCTCATCAAATTAATTCCCCTGTAGTTGCTACAAATTAAAAATATATATTTATTGTTCACACTTATTTGATATGATCAAATCATTTTACGTCTAGTCTTTACAGTGAACCGCGTTTTTACCAATAATTCTCGTTTAATTTGTATTTGTTTAAGTTATTTGTTGTGGTTACATTGCTGAACAGTTTTAACCAATCAAAGATGAAGGAGCCCACAGTGATAGTCAATAACAGCCAATCACAAGAGGACATGAACAAAAATGGGCGGGTCTATGAGCGCAGTTTATTTAATAGAAAAGGGGTTGGGTTTCCTTCTACAGTAGGTTCTGTTGTTTTCGTGAGGATAGATCTGTTGTTTAGTTAATCGACGAACCAGAACGCGTTAGAGATCGATTATTTATTAGGTTTGGTAGCTCTTTGCTGCTTTTCCGATCGAGTCGCCAAGAAAGGAGCGACTTGATCCTTTCTGATATAGATCGCTTGAAAAATTAGGTCGAAAGGGATGCCGCTGCAGAAAGAATCCGACGGACGCCAACAGTCTTTGGATGTAATCTCGTCGCATTTAATCGGGAGGAGCAGCTTCAGTATAAACTTAAAAGGCCTCAGAATAAGCCATTCTCGACCGAGTGTTTGTGTAAGATACTTGAGCTCAAGTTCACATTAATTGCTCCGTTCTTACGCGAAGATAGCAGCGTAATAAGCAGCTAGTTAGCACGGCTAGCGTTAGCAGGTCAACAACAAAGCGCGTCGTTGATCCTCGGCGGCCTCCGCGTCTCCAAAGAGGTCGAGTCCGGGACGGAGCAGTCGACTTGCTCGGAGTTTGGACCCACCATTGTCTGCCTGCTGACAATATTTTCGAGGTAAGCGAACAACAACCGATGTTTGTCAACCAGGAAGACTAGTTTGCTGGTGGGGGAGGGGCAGTGGTCTCTGTTAGAGGAAATGGTGTTTTGATGTGAAATGTGTCCTCACGGGGCGCTGCTGTTTTAAACGTAGAGGCAGAATCAAACGTATTTAATGTCTATGTGCTTTTTCTAAACATGTGTTTTGACTATTTTTCCCCCTCAGACAGCCATGAAACTGTTGGAAAACTCCAGCTTTGAAGCCCTCAGCTCCAGACTGTGTGTTGAAACAGGAGAGTCTCGCATCCTTGGCAGGTAAACAAATTTTCCTACAACACTTGTTATGACTACTGTTGTTATGGTTATGTTTACTTTTGTTGTAAACAGTTTTAACAGTAATCATTTTGAAGAAGTGGCAATACGTTCATAATGTGAATAGGTCAAGTTTTAAAGTGGTTTTTGATGCTGTTAATTTTCTCAAAACTGCCATTTTTGGACGTTGAAATGAAAAATTGTGTTAATTAAGTGGCTTTAATGAAAAATAGCCCCTTGTTTAAAAGTATAAAAATTGTATTAGCACTATTAAAGAGCAGGTTTTAAGTATTTATGTTGCACAAATATTTCCATTGCATTAAAGAGACAAATTGAAGAAAATTATTTTAAATTATTTCATTAACACGAGGGGGTCTCGGAAACGTTTTCTCCCCTGTCCTACATTATCTCAGTGTATATTTGGAGTTTTACCAGCATTTTTATCTTCTTTACCTCGTGGTAATGAAAGATTAGTTTCACCTGAATGCAACATTTAACTCACGCTGTTGTACGTTTAATAACCACCAACACAGACCATTTCTAGAGGGGCTTTTACTTGGTCACTGGAACAAACTAAGGCCAAGGTTTCCTTTCCTCAATGTTTTATTGATTATTTTATTTTAATCAGACTGCTCTAAATTCAGCATTATTTTTTAATAGATTTTGTTGCAAGCAGAACAAGGCATCCATAAAGTAGTAAGCATTTATAACAATCTGCAAGCATCACATAGGGCATCATAAAACAGTTGTTGGGCGTTTATTAGAGGTATAAAGTGGTGCAGAGTTCACTGACTCTTAAATAAGGGTAGTGAAACAAAAAGCAATATTGCGAGAGCAGTTTACCACCCTGAAGACCTACTTTCAGCGCCTGTGTTTTAAAGTTCAGAGATGATTTACAGGACTTCTTTCCTCTTCAGACTGTAAAATGTATCAGTCTGCTTCGGCTTATGTAAACCCGCTACAGCTGAATGTGCAGAAACAAACACTGTGGTTACATAAAGTCTGGTGGGTTGTGCAGCTACGCAGTTTGATGTGTGGGAGGTGAAACGGAGCTATGTTGGTTGTGACCTACTGTGACGCAGATCACGGTGTCTTCTCACAAGACCCTGAGGTTATTTTGGAGGCTGTTGTCAAGTACGTTGTTGGCTTGAATTGTAAAACACACAATACAAGAGTGTTGCTTGGTGCCATATATGTAATGAGATATTCCATTAAAGTTGCAGGTTACATGCAGAATAAATTAAGCAGCGTTTCTTTTTATTGGTTTACATGTTGCATCCTGTTCCAAACCATATGCAATAGTAATTAAAGGTCATTTGTTTGGTGCAGCTCAGTCGATTTGTAAATAAATATCTTTTCCCTTAATAAATATGTAAGACATGTGTCATTAGAGATGCACAAGCGTACTCTTGATCATCTCAGCTTCTGTGTACTTGAAGTCATCTTGATTACCCGCGGTGTTCGGTGGGAGGCTCAGCTGTGTTGCGTTTTAAATATCAGTGCTGGTATTTCTTCTCTGATCTCTATAATTAGCCCGTCAGGGTCTGGGAAGGGGGATCTCTACAGTTGGTCTGTCCTAAGCTGCACCGTGTTGTGCTCTTGCGTAACACCTTGTGTGTGATCGAGCAAAATAAACAGCATCACACCAGTCTGCTGCGCTCAGATATCCGTATCAGCAGCGTCTGACCCAGATACATGAACCTCAACTCGTGTCTGCGCTGATACGACTTCCAGTGGAGAGACGTCTAATAAAACTGTCATGGTTTATTTACTTGTTTTCATACATGTATTTGTCGACTTTCAGTTTTATTAGGTTTCACGGTACAAACAATCAAATAAGACAATATAAGTGATTTGTCCAACACTTAGCCAGCTGAGCTCTTCCATAATTATATTTCTATGCTTTTTTACTCTTTTTGCCTTGCAGGATCGAGAGCTACTCCTGTAAGATGGCAGGAGACGACAAACACATGTTCAAGCAGTTCTGCCAGGAGGGGGAGCCCCATGTGCTGGAGGCCCTTTCTCCCCCTCAGTCCACCGGCACCACCAGCCCCTCGCAGTGAGTTTAATGGTCCAGTTGAGCATGGGAATGGTAGATGTGTCTTCTAAAGGCTGCGTTCCTGACTATGCAGGCTGGGGAAGAGCAGTGAGGATGGGGAGAACCCTCTGAGTGATAAAGTTTGCAGAAAGACTCTGTTCTACCTTATCACCACACTCAACGAATCCTTCAGACCGGACTATGACTTCAGCGCCGCTCGGGCCCACGAGTTCAGCAGAGAGCCCAGCCTTAACTGGGTTAGTGTTCTTCCTGATAAGCAGAGAAGTGAGACGGATGGGTTAAAAACAGATTAGTGATGTGTGTTTTCTCTCCAGGTGGCAAATGCAGTGAACAGCAGCATGTTCTCAGCAGTAGGGGAGGATTTTAACTCCCTGCGACCCGAGCTGTGGAGCGCCATCGACCAGGAGATTAACCTGCAGAGCTGTGACATATACAGGTGGGTGTTTGGGGCATTTGTTCTTTAAAGTCACCGTTCTGTCAGAAGAAGGCTTTATGAGTGTCTTTATTCTGTTTCAGCTACAACCCAGATCTGGACTCGGACCCTTTTGGTGAAGAAGGAAGCCTGTGGTCCTTTAACTACTTCTTTTACAACAAAAAGCTGAAGAGGATTGTGTTCTTCACGTGTCGCTCTGTCAGGTCAGCAGCACGGAATAGTTGCAGCGCGGTAAATATGAATTGTAATAGACCGCTTGATCTCAGACCTGATCACTTCCTGTACGTGTGCAGCGTCCTGAGCGGTTACGGCCGCGGTTGCCTCGACAACGAGCTGGACATGGAGCTGGAGGATGAGGAGGAAATGGACGGCTTTACAGAGGAAGGGTGAGACGGCTTGTCACCCGGCAGCTTTTCTTGTTTTCCACTAAAATATTGATCTGCTTATATTTTTTATTCCCTCTCGCAGGTGCCCCAGACCTTTGTGTGTGTAACTCCTGACCATGACTCCTTCAGAACATCTGTTTTTTAACCTTGTTTTTGTATTTTCTGTGGGATTTTACTGCCTCATCCAAAGTCATTTTCTCTCTCTCTCTAAACTACTGCATGTTACTTCCTTCTTTTTGTTGAGCTGCCGGGAGGTGGACGTTTTATTAATAATAAAAAAAAAAAAAAGGACGCCCCAAGGCTTCATCGAGCTCCTTGATTCATTTTCCCACGATGTGATTTTTCAACTCGGCTCCAAACGGAACATATTGTCTTCTCTATGTTTTATCAAGGACAGCTTATTATGAGCGTGCGAATCAAGGTGGATTTATGGCAGAGAATTGTGAAAGAGACTGCCGGAGAGTTTGGTGACAAAGAGAGAAGTTCAGATAACGCCAGCAGGAGTGAGACATTTGTTTTAGTCCAACCTGGGACGGAGCTGAGTCCATGCAAGGCCTGAAAGGACTCATCACTTCTTCATTGTTTCTTTTTCTGTGTAATATTGTGACGTTTGATGTCCTGAAATAAGTGTTCATTACTGAATTGTATGGTAGCTATTTTCTATCACTGCTCATCTGTACTTGTTGGATGGGAAGGGTTAGCTGGGGTGGGGGAGGGGTGCATCTTTTAAAACAAGTTTTCATTAGACACTGTTTTAAAATGTTTATTTTCTTAAATTTCCTTGTATTATCACTTTTTTTTTTGCTTATTAGATCATTACTTTGTTGCAAAGGTTTAATTAAAAGTGAATGTATAGAACAGATTATAACTATTAGAAGACACATTTTAGGAACGGCAAAGTATATGCTCATTAAAATGTGGAAAGTTATGTTTTATTAACTTCTGTGCTTTAATTTAGTCACTGTGGCTGATCGTAATAAATTGGTGTTTGGATCCAAACGACCTGAATCTAGTCTTCAAAGTTCAGTGGATGCAGTCAAGCGTTTTACCTCTTAATAAACTGGTGACCTTAAAACAGTCAAAAAAATTTAAAACAAAGGCAGCACATGATCCAAAACAATGTTACACAGTATATAATCTGTCTCCATCCTCAAGGTGAAAGCTGGTCACCTCAGCGCTGAAGACTCAACAGCTGCACGGTTCCTGTTTGTGCACAAAGGTTTTAATTGTGGCTCACTGGAACTAATGCACCATCTCCTGTCTGGTCACATAAGAACTTGTAAAAGTTATACAAGGTTTGACCTCTGCTCCTTGTAGCTTCACTGTTCCACTGGCGTCTTGCAATTCCCAATTTCACCACCAGGTTTCCTTATTATCCATTCTCTGTCCTGATGACAAGTATCTTCCTACCTGTCTAATTTTACTGGTGCTGCTGTTGTAGCCCAGTCATCTGGAAGCTTTTATACCACACACAACCTTTAACTTCTCTCTGAACTCCTCACAGCATTCTAACTTTCTCAGCTTCCACCTGGTCTTCTCTGATTTTACTTTTTCATAACAGTTCCTACACAACCATCTGTCTGGCCAATGCTCTCCCCTGCCACATCCGTACAGGTCCCAGTCTCCCTCAGTTTCCTCTTCTACACAACATGTAGTCGACCTGCGTACTCCTCCACTCATAGGTCACTCTGGTTCTTTTGGAAACAAAGTGACGGCTACAACCGTTTCCATTCTCTTGGCAAAATCTGCTTCTCCCTGGTGTCTTCTTGACACCAAACCTACCCATCACTTCCTCATCCCATGTTTCATTCACCAACATATCCATTCAGATCTCCTAACTGTGAACACCCTCCCTCCCTTTATATAGATCCTTCCAGAATTTCTACTCTTAACTCATAAAACCTGACAACATTCAACAAGTCTACTTCTACCTTCATACACACCGACACTCTTTTCACCTCTACTACATTCTTTGCCAACTCCTCCATTAGGACCATTCTTACTCCATTTCTCTTTCTAGCCATACCATGGTAACAGTTTAAACCATGCTTCAGTACAGCCTTGCTGTCCTGCCACTTGGTCTCTTGAACACAAAACGTCTACCTTCCTTCTCTGCATCATGTCAGCCAGCTCTCTACCTTTGCCTGTCATTGTCCCCACATTTAAAGATTCTACTCCCAGTCCTACACTCATGTCTATCACACTTCCCTCCCAATTTTTAACTAACAGTAGCAAAATTTCCATCAGGACCCTGTTTGTCAACAGTAACGGTTGCGGTCATCGTTAACCCGGGCCTCGATTGAACCAGCATGTTGTTTAGATGAACTCCCATGTTAGTTTTGGAATAAATGTCAGACGCCCTTCCTAACATAACCCTCACCATTTACCCAGGTGGGACCTGCGCAAGATACATTGGCACGTCCTCCCTAGATGCTGGTTTGAGAAACTACAAAGCATATGTTCATGCTGAAAGGTTATGCTTTAATTGCCACTGTTGCTGAGTGTAATAAATTAATGTTTGGATCTGAACGGCGTGAATCAAGTCTTCAAAATAAAATAAATGCAATCAAGAATTTTACCTATAATAAAGTCAAGTGATAGTAAGACGGTTTAAAAAAATGCTGTAGATTCTCACTCATTCGGTTTAAAAAAACAAATGTTTAATGAAAACGAATGCAGTACATGATCCAAAACGATGTTGCCGCAGTATCCGTCTCCATCCTCAAAGTGAAAACTCGTCACCTCGGTGCTGAAGACTCAACAACTGCACGGTTCCCGTTTGTGCACAAAAGGCTTGAATCGTTTTAATTCTGGCTCACTGGAATTAATGCACCGCCTCCTGTTTGGTCACTTAAGAACTTGTAAAAAGTTTTATACAAGGTTTCAAAAGTGACGCGTGCATAGATCTGATGGCAAGTTCGAGAAATTATTTCAACGGGAAAATCAGGCAGACTGTCAGACTTCCACACGTAGTCCTCCAAACATACAGATCAGTTCTGGTAAGGCTGGGAATCAAGTACTTTTATGCCTATATTCCACTGAACACTGTAAAACAGCTCCCTATATATGGATGGCACCTATCTGAGAGGTTTGCTCTGATCCCTTGTTTATGAAGTTAAAAAAATGTTTCAAGAAAAATGTCGAGCTAAAACAGGAAACGAAACGATAAAGCGGTGATCGTGCACCCATACAGAAGATCTCCGTAAGCAAGCTTCTAGTAATGTTAATTAAAAACAGACTATAGAACAGAATGAAATAAATCCATGCATCGTTAAGGAAATGTTTAAAATGCCAGATGTGAGATGTGACTCAGTCATTGCAGGGTTGAATCTCACCCCTCACAAAATCGTCTTCCAATGTTTTGAGCTGGCATTAATATGAAAGCACAGGCTGAAAGCAAAACAGAATTTGTACGCCGTACCGCATTTAAACATGGCAACAGTAACTCCTGAAGTGTGACAAATACCACCCAAAATGTAGCTTATAAAACTGAAATCGTATGTAACAAATGTCAGAAAGAAAAAAAAAAATTTACGTGCACCTTTTCAACGTTGTCATCTTATTACTATGAGAACTGCTTTAACAATAATGTTAATGTTATACTGCAATCCCTTTGACCTGAACACAGAAAAAAAATAACTACCAAGCAAACGAAGAAAAAAAAAAAGATCTGAGCTGCACCATTATTGGGTTTCCAAGTACTCTGGATGACGCAGAGTAACGCAACATGATATGTACGTAGTGTAAAATGTGAGAAATCGTCATTTTCTCTTTAGTAAAAGTTACTGCTTGTTCCATAAGCAAGTCTCTAGATGTTTTAGCTGGTCATCAATAGAAGCACGGACAACACTGGACATCAATGTGCTCGTCCTGTGCCGTTGCAATGTTCCATAAAGAGAAACGAGAAGGAACAATAAGCCAGAAGGGGCATGACGCTGTGCCACACTGGTGCTGATGTAGGTGGTCAAGGCTGCTGACGACAGAAGAAGGGGCTATCTGAGTCCAGCTCTGGAGGTCATCCACTCCAGGCCTTGGCATAACCTGGAAAACAAAGCACGACATCCGAGTGGAACAGTGCCCCAGCAGCCAACTTTACATCTAATACTTTAAAGAGGAACATTTCTTTCTGAGTTACCGTATTTTTCGGACTATAAGGCGCACTTAAAATCATTTAATTTTCTCAAAAATCGACAGTGAGCTTTATCTATTAATTCTGGTTGTGCTTACTGACCTCGAACTGATTTTATGTGGAACAACTGAACAATGTTGAGTTATTGTGAATGAGTTAAATAAAGTTGGACTTATCCGATTTCGTTTCGCATAATGCACCTTATAATCCGGTGCGCGTCATGGAAACAGACTCATTCACTGATATTGTGCCGCATAGTCTGAAAAATATTGTAAATAGCTGATATGGGTGCGACACCAGGAGTTTCCAAAGTTAAACTTTTTCACAATATTGAAATTTTCAGAGACATAGAATTTTGTCGTTTTCTTTATCTGTTAGACATAATCATCAAAATTACAAGAAATATAAGTTTGAAATATGTTATTCTGTGTAATGAATCTGCATAATAAATGAGTTTCACTTTCTTAAACTACTGACAAAAAAATATTGAACTTTTCACCATACGCTGTTTTTTTTTTATAGATGCACCTGTGTTAGCAAAATGAATATTTGAGGGCGGGAAAAAAACAAAACATTTCTTCTTTACACCTTTTCAGCATGTTTCAACAGGGAAAACACAGTGAGCAGTTTGAAACCATTAGTCAATGTCACTGATATCTTAATAAAAATTCATGATCCAATATTTAAATACAGTAAATACTGCCAGGCCTTGGGATTTCATCTCCCATTTGTGCAGGATTGGCACATTTTCCTTACCCCTCTCCTGTAAGAGCGCAACACGACTGTATGTGCCAGGGGTGGTCTTTGATGGAGCTCAAGGTGAGGTATTTGGAAATCTCTGCCGCGGACATGCAGTCTTTCATATCCTGCTTATTCGCAAATATCAACACAGCTGCTTTCCGCAGGTCCTGAGGGAGAACACCGAGAACAATGAATGTATCAGAGGAACTGTTTCACATCTAATGAAGTGCACATTAAAAACACTGTGGATGTGTGGAAAATAATATCTAACCCAGTGGTAGTGATGGGTAGTCTGAAGCCGACGCTCCAAGGCATGTGCAACAAAGAAAAAAAAAAACAACTTAAAAAAAAAAGTGTTTCTGAAGCTCTGTGATTTGTTTAGTAAATGCCACATGATCAATGACGTCTGAAGCTTCGAAAGTGCCAAAGTGACGTCACTGCTTTAAATGACTGGACAGATTTGTGGTGGGTTTTAATGGCACAAACCAGTGAGACGTGAAACCAGCCAGCCTGATGTGGTTTATGTGTTTAGTTTAACAGTTCGTAGCACTTTAACCCCAAGATAGAAAGAAAACAAAATCTGAAAAACACTAAGTTACAATCTAATCTTACAACAAACATACACTGTTCATTACATCAAGTCACGGAGGCTGGAAACCGTCATTATAAGCTGGTTTTAAGTTGTGAATCAGATAAAAATGTATAAAAATCTGTTTAAAAATGTCAAGTCGTCACAGGCAAAGGCGCACCATGTCATATGTTTTAAACAAGTTTATTCATCAAGTTATTTATTCATCAAACAACCATAACTTGGTTATTACATAATGCAAATAACGGGCGGCTGTGGCTGAGTGGTTGGAGCAGTCGTCCTCCAATGCAAGAGTTGGGGGTTCGATTCCACCAGCAGTCCCTGGGCAAGACGCTGAACCCCTCATTGCCTCCGATGTGTGTCCCATCAGTGCATGAATGTGATAAAGCTCTGATGAGTCTCTGTATAGATCTAGTAGAGTGCTGAATGAATGGGCAAATGAGGGCACAGATTGTAGTGTAAAGCACTTTTGAGTGTTTTACACTATATAAGTGCAGTTCATTTACCATAACTTTAGCTCAAAACAGCCCAATTACAGCCGATATCAACCAGAAATATCTCAGGATTTTAACCAACAACTGTCCGCTCTGTCGGTTTGACAACAAAAATAAAGCGGTCCATTTCATGCTGTGGTTTTAAGCTAATCTTTATACTTTAGGCCACAAGATGGGATCAAAGAGGGCGGTGTTGAAAAGCTTAGAGTAATAAACCCTTTGTGAAACAAGCTTCCGAAAAGCTTCATTTGCCCATCACTACCCAGTGGTTCCCAGCCCTGCTCCTCGAGGAACACCATCCTGCATGTTTTAGTTGTTTCCATGATTTGATAGTAGGATAGTAATTAAATCACTGAATCAGGTGGGTAGGAACAGGGAAGCTATAAACACGCAGGCTCGTGTTCCTGGAGGACCACGGTTGGGAACCACCGATCTAACCCATACCAACGTATTAAAATGAGTTCTACCTCATGAGCTAACATTCTGTAGAGCTCCTCTTTGGAGATGGCCAGCCTCTCTCTGTCCGTGCTGTCAACCACCAGAATGATGAACTGCAGAGCAGAAGACCAGAACAGCACGAGTGACTAAAGACATTTGCAGCAGTGAAATGTAACAGCGGGGGGAGATTATTGGGGCAGAGGGCTTCAGTGGTGGCCAATATGCTAATGGATGCTTCTGAATGAGAAAGAGGAGCATGTAGGGCAAAAGACTTAAAAGGAAAAAGCAGTTTGAAGACTGACTAGACAAAATGAAAAGAAGCAGACTTTCAACATTAATGTGACACTTATGAGGATGTCGCAACTACTTCACAGGAAACAAAAGGTTAAATTATTCAAATGACAACAGGGCTTCTGACACAGCCAGACAGAAATGAACCTTTAAGTTTCCATCACTGTAATACACAAGAACCTCTGTGTATATTTTGGTTCAACGTTGAACAAAGCCCACTATAAATACTGCAAGTTCATGATCGGGGATGAGAGAAAGCATATTGTACGAGCTTATTTTATTCTTTGTTTAGCAGAAAACATTTTGGAACAGAGCAGCTGATGCGACACGTTCAAGGAGCTTTGGTAAACCATGTGACTTCCACAAGGAGACAACCTACATGCGGTGCGTTTAGAGGACATCCGTATATCCTAGTAATAGAAAAATATGGCGTCAGTTCCCACAAACAGGAAAGTAAATTAGTTGAAAGTAGCAGAACTAAAACTTTACATTTTGGGTTTTGCTTACTTAAGCTGCTATTTATTTTATTGGAAGAGTTATAAACTTATTGTTCTTAGAAAAAGACTCAATATTCTAAATGATGCTTTAAATACAAAGAAGATTAATTCATTTTGTGTCAAAGAAAACAACCCCCATTGCTTATAAAGCTGGACCACTGACATCATTGTTAGATGATCACCGATGACATATTACCGTATTTTTTGGACTATAAGGCGCAATCCTTTCATTTTCTCAAAAATCAACAGTGCATCTTATGTTTTAATTCTGGTTGTGCTTACTGACATCGAACCGATTTTATGTGGTACAACCGAACAATGCTGAGTTATTGTGAATGAGCTGAATCAAGTTTGACTTATCCGTTTTGTTTCACTTAATGCACCTTATAGTCAAAAAAATATGGCAATACAAAAACAACGGATTTTTCTAATTCCTTCATTTGATCAACAGGCTACAACACAACTATAGACGGTTTTATAAACTCCTTAAAACCACAAAGCAACAAGGAGTTAAAACCGAGCAGCTACGAAACGGATTAGTGAACATTATAGTTTTCAAACGCAGCGACATCTTTTGTTCTCTTTAACCTCACATTTTAAAAAGGCAGCTGCCTCTAACTTTACATCTTCGACGAATCTCTTTGTGGAAACTTGACCTCTGACCTAGGCCCAGCTGCTGCATGTGCAAATGCACCAACTGCTGCACTCAGGAGGACGATATGAAAAGAAGCTGGTGAGAAGCAGAAAAATCACAACCTAGCAAGGATCTCACCTCTGTATTAGAGTAGTAGGTGTTCCAGGAGGACCTGAGGGACTCCTGTCCCCCTATGTCCCACATCAGGAAGTGGGTGTTCTTCACCACAATCTCCTCCACGTTGCTGCCAATGGTGGGCGACGTGTGGACCACCTCGTTCATCAGACTAAAAAGTTACGAAGGTGAATTCGTTCAAAAGCAGGCAAACGAGCTGCTTCAGGTTTTAAACTGTATTTTTAAACAATAACAGTACTTACAATTGGTAGAGAATAGTGGTTTTCCCTGCGTTGTCGAGACCCACAATGATCACTTTGTGCTCTGCAATACAAAGTTGAATATGATGGACTTTATGGTCAGCAGGAAAAAAAAAAAGTACCGTTTACTGTAAAAACACTACGCGGCAGCGAGTACGACTAAACCAAACTGTTTTCCGTCTATACAAAACCTTTGTGTCAGTCACAGCAGCAGGTCTTAAATATACCCTATAAGCTGAGCTTCCTTCCCAACCATCAGAAAACCACATGGAACAACAGGGAGGACTTTACTGCAGCTGTGAAACTTACAGCGTTTGGAACAAAGGTTCAGACTTCCATGGCCTTCTGAGGTCTGAGAGGAAGGAAGTCTGGTCAGAGGACTCTGTCGGGGTGAAACATACCGACTTTTGTGAGGAGGTTCTTTGTGTATTGCTTCCTTCAAACGGGGGCTACCTTGTGACAATCACAAGCAGCACAAATGGGGAAATGAAACAGAACATGAGCAAACTCTTACAGCTATTTTAAGCATTTAAAAAAAAATGTTTTTATAAAGTTTGGCTAAAGGATTCAACCGAAGCGCTTTAAAGAAAAAGGTCATATTTATACAGGACTAAAAATAAAACTACTACAAGTACTTCTAAGCTAGATTTCTGCTAATCTAATTAACGTGTTTAGTTCCTATGTAAACCACTATAATCTCTTTAAGTGAAACTTGACACTAGGTACATTTCAATTGAGGCTATGCATAGTTTTCTTCTCTGGGATAAATTTTAGTTTTATATATATATCCTATCTATATACCTATAACTCTATCTATCTATCTATCTATATACCTA